CTGGATTTCAGTTCCTTACGCCTGCTCAACCCCTTGCCTTATAATAACGTGCGAGACTCGTGGCGAAGATTTCGAACAGAACTTAACACATTGCGTACCGGCTAATTATCAGGAAACTGAATTGTGTGGACGGAGGTTTTCAGTGAGATCCACTTATATCACTGTATATAAAAAAACTCAGATATCATATTGTTATGTAATTATATTTTAAATGAACAATTAGTTCTGATCGAATTTAATATAATGATTAATGCTGTGTAAGTTACCAGAGTTATATAGCTAAGTGTCTTTATATAACAATGAGATTTTTCGTTATCAGTATGCAATGTGTTAACAAATGTATATATTAGTCGATTATTGTGAATATAAATGAAATATTGTCCTTTTGTTATCAATTATTGTAACTTAAAGCAAGCATAGGCATAGAATATACCTAAAGTTTGTCTCTCTTTTCAAGAAATTAGTAATGGGAAAGTAGTTGTGTCGATCATAGTTGAGAAATAAATCGTTGGGTAAGGGGTTAAAAATGTATTGTTATTATCTTCTATCATTTCATTTTATAGTCTCGAAGCTATACCTCCGTACGCCAAGATTTGCGTGCGTGTAGCTAAAAGGTTAACCCTTTGAACTCGATTTATTTTCAATACTGTTTGTCGTAAACTTGTATTTATTTTTAAGGGAATAATTTAAAGTAACTTCCAGCGGTGGAATTCAACGGTTTAAATTTATTCAATTTATTATCATAATAAGATTTAATTTGTATAATCTTTCAAAATCTGCTACTTTTTAAAGCGCCACAAATAAAGTGTACCAAATTTGTATTATCATGTCCAGCATGACACACGAGTGCAAAGGGTTAACCCTTTGCAATCGATGCCGCCGCAGTGGCGACATTTAACACTGTTCCCGAAATCGGCGTCGCCAATATGGCGGCATCTTTTTTTTTCTGAGTATTATTTTACGATCGAGAGGTGTTTATTATTCTTTACAGAATTTATATTCAACAAACTTTTAATATCCATATGTTTATTATAAACCTATAGAAAAATAACTTCGAGAATATATATATATATTTTCTTCGACATTGGTAATGTCACCAGAAAAATCTGCCGATCGTAAATGATTAATGCGACGTAAAATACATAAATAAAGAAAAATACAAGGAAAGCTAACAGCGTGTATTCAACTGTTTTCAACCCCTAAATTGAAGCTCGCGTTCAGCTGAAAACTATCGAACTCTCGTTGCTAGAGCCACTCGCACCCTTCCCGCCATTTTCGAGGCGCGAGTTGCGGTCAGGCCGGACTAGATTCCTCGCTTAATGGCTCCGTCCGATGACACGGGTCCCGGTTAAATGGCCGAGGCGAGGTAAGCTCTGTACACGGAAGCCGGGTCGGGATTAAAATCTGGAAAAGGGAAAAGGTCGACGCGCCGCGCGGTACGCTGTCTCGTTGCTCCTCGGTGTAGAGACTTAAGCTACTCAAAACGGTGCCGGGGTGCATCGGTGTCCCGGCCGTTGTCCGTGAAGAACGGAGATTAACACGCTCCACGACACCCTGTAATCGATATACCTCCCTTTTCTCTCGGCGAGCGGGTTTGTTTACCGCCCCGGCGAGGAGCGAGCCTCGACAGCTGGCTTCCATGGTCGCCCCGTTCCCAGTTCTTTCGTTTTTCACGAATATTCCCGGAAATTACTTCTGCGGAGCTCGTCTCGAGTACACGGTGCCAATTAGAGCCACGAATTCTGAAACCAATCAACATTTCGAGAGAGTCGATCTTTTTCAGCTTCGTTCGTTCGTTCGTTCGTTCGTTATGTGTTATAGGGGTTTGCGTGGATTCATTGTAATCGGCAAACTTTGTAATGTTCGATTGAAACAATCACAGTAGTAGCTTTAATGCTTTCGCGGTTTGGAATGTTATATTTATTATAAAATTGTTGACCAATTAAAAGCTGCTGGTTAAGACCGTTATATAAAGACAGTCTTCCTAGTCACACACTAGTGTCAGTGTGTCTTTAACACGTTCCGTGCCACAGAAACTTCGGTTATATTTTGTTTATTAATTTTTTAAGTAAAATAATAAGTTATATTCAGGTATTTCATGATTTTTTTTGTAATTCGATATTGTTTCTTTGTGTTCACTGCTTTGTAACGTATACCACTATCCATGACCGTGTATCCGTTAAAAATATTTTCTTACAAAAACTGGCGTGTACCATAGGTGGTACACGTGGCACGGAACGTGTTAACACGTTCGCTACCAGCGAACATAAGTCAATTGAAGTCTTAGTAGCCGTATTCTTAGAGTTCCTATAGACAAATTTGGAAATGTCGATTCGACTACCTACTTGTTCTAGTGCTAACCCTTTGCACTCGGAAGTTTCTCATTAGAAATATTTCACATTTCTTGACAAGACAAAGACGATATTCTTTGAAACTAACCCAATGGGAAACCACAAGTACACGAGGACAAAGCTATTTCATTCCAACATTTGCGTTGTACAAAGATCAACATTAAATATCAAATTTTATAGTTTCACTGCGTCAAATCGAATGCTGACTGAGAGTCACCTCCCGAGTGCAAAGGGTTAAAGGTAAAAGTGTAGTACCTACGGAAACAGGGTGTATATCGAGAAGTTTCTGGAAACTCAGTTTTCCATTGTACTATAACTCGGGATTATAAAAGCATCACGATTCTCCAGAATTGACTTCGTATCGAAGGTCAAAATGGAGTACGAGGAGGGTTCGTACGTTGAAAAGTTCGTACGCAGAGCAGTTCGTGAGTCGAGGTACCGCACTGCACTAATTTACAATATTCTTGCTAGCTTATCACCTCGACTAGTTTATCGCTCCGAACGATTCGCGTGAATAAAAGGGGCTGTCGGCGATGATTCTCCGTGGTCTTGGAAACGCGCGTCAGGTTTTGAACGGGTCGAGAGCGCGTAATTCCGGGAAGGTTGAAGGGCCAGCCTGGTTTTCGGGAATCGCGTCTGTACCCGCCGTCGTCGGCGTTCTTAGCGAGGCGCCAACTTATCTTGACGAAGCAGCGGCGTCCCTTTTATCCGATTCTTCAAACTAATTACGAATTTAATAAAATTCTCCCTACCGTGTGTCGGCTCCGCAGTGAAGGGAATCCGTTCTTCGACGCGGCAAAAAAGAATCGAAGCATGCCTACCGTTCGCTCGCGTTCGCCGCGGGGCCGCTCACTAATGCCTAATGGAAAGTTAATTAACGTTTATCGGCATTGATGGAGACGTTCCGTTGACAACTTTAAACTCGTTTCGTTCGTTCCTCGCCTCACTCCTGATTAGATCGACGCGATGTGAAAGTGTGTACTAGATTGTTGTTCACTTTACCATTTTAATTGAATATAGTGCTAGACGTCCGAAGAAGGCTCTAAGATTAGGTTTATCGAACATTTCTGTCAGTTTCTTCATTAAGAGAAATGCCAGTTAATTGTTATTAATCAGTTAACTTTGACGAGTATACACGTCATCTTACATGACTACTTTGTCATTAATAATTTATTGGAAAAAAGGAGAAAGTCTATGTTTGCTATTAAGTATTGGGTTGTCCTATAAATACTGTGGTTTTTATATTCCTTTTATCTTGAGAAATAAAGATAGCTAAAACTGTTTTAAAAGTAATTATAACGTATAGATAGAGAATTTATAAATAGCGAAGGAGAATATGTTTAGACTAATACTAGCTTTGTCTATCTTTATTTTCGATAATACAGGAAATATAAAAAACCACATTATTTATGGATGACTCAATGTAATAATTGATTTAGACTGAAACGAGTAATATTTATGTTTGTTGAATCATGTTGAAAATCTTCACGAGTCTGATACGTTGTTATAACGCAAGGGGTTAAAACGCAAAATGGTACTAATTTTTTGAACAACGAATTATTTATTTTTTCGTTTTGTTTACAGATAGTTTTAACATCCATGCATAAATACATTCCGCGCATTTGGATCATCCGCTGCGACAACGTGACGAGGTTGAGCGATTTATATGCCCATCCAGCTTCGTCGTTTAAATTCAGCGAAACGGAATTCATCGCCGTGACAGCTTATCAGGTAAATATTTACTTGCGATTCAACTTTGAAGTAGAAATAATACAGTTGCATATTTATTTATTAAAATGTGTTTTGATTACGTATTTACCTGCTTGTTAAAATCACATATTTATTATATAAATTTATTAAAATATATTTAGTATCATATTCAAAAGTACAAAATTAATCAAAAATTAAATTAACATTTCCAAAACGAGATCTATTCTCAAACATTTCACTAAAAAAAAACGGTTTAGCGACCAGTGTCACGCGAATTAAATTATTTTCACGCAAGTTCTTACCTAAAATCATAAGCTAATAGAACTTCTTTTCCAATGTAATTTGAATTTCACAAAAACTCTTCGTCGCATTCAATGAAATATCGTAGCTACAAAAATTGTTACTAAAAGAACACCGGTCGTGATCGTGTTACGCAAATAATGACTTCAGCAGCCTGCATATTTGACTCGTCAAATATTCCTCAAGGATAATAGATTCCAAATACTAATCACGTAATCTTCCTATTCCAGAACGAGAACATTACCAAACTGAAGATCAACAACAACCCTTTCGCGAAGGGTTTCCGGGAGACAGGTCGGTCACGGTGCAAGAGGAAGTTTCAGCATGTAGAGACGGATGATCCAATTGAGATCGTAGACGAAGAAGAGAACGTGTCCTTTGAATCCGAGTCGACCAGGATAGATCATCTAGAAGTTGCCACACAGAGACCGAAAACTGCGTCCAGTGAGACCGGAAGTCTCGACGACAGCGGTGTCAGCAGCTGCGGCAACATCAGTCCACCCTTGTCCACCATGAACCAGCGAAATCCACTGTCCAAGGACGCAGATCGCGACACGCGACCGCGATTACACAGACCTTGGATCGATTCAGAGCCACAGTTCTCGTCAACTCCTTCCCTGAAACTGTCGCCCAGACACGAGGACTCTTTGGACATCTCTGCGCATTACTTGAGGTTACTGCACCCCGCTTTCACGGCGCAACAGAACCTGATCACGTGGCAATACCAATCGTTACAGTAGCTCTCTAAGTATTATGAATAACCAGTTTAACCTTCGACGCAGATTTTTGTCGGTTAACACGTTAAGTGCCACGAGAATCTCCACCACTTTTCTGTAGAGTTATCATTTTCATCGAAGAAAAGTAGTGAATTATTCACTGTTCGCGTTACAATCTTTGCACTACACTATTATCAAGTTAGTTATATTATTAACACGTTCGCTACCGATTATTTCGGTGAGGACCTCTTCAATGGTAATATTTCATTCAATCCAGTAAATCTAAACAAAATATCGAAAGAATGAAACTGGAACAAGCTATTGAGTTCCTAAATATAATGCAGTAGCTTATGACTTTAAATAATAATGTCTATAAGATTAACTTCATTTGTTTTATGTAAAATATAAGATCGCAAGTATGTGACGCTGGTGGCGAACGTGTTGTACGTTTTGATTCGACATCGATTGTCTTGCATGTTACGATTGTTTTCAAGTAATTCAGAAACGTCGGTCATCGGTGACTGACATGGCATTTAACGTGTTAATATTAAAACCGTGCTAGTCGAAATGACTGGCTTTCGTTTCTTTCGTGTCTTTCGCAATTACTGACAGCATTAGGCCTGGTACACGCAAATTGAAGAATATTCGAGAGCTGACCGAGACCTGACTGATAGTGTGTAGATTTAAAGGGCGATAGTTCAAATGCATAAGATTTGTTAAAATTGATAGTATAATGGCTATTAATGGAAATTGAGGAGATGTATTCTTTATAATGTTTGTAAGAGCACTTGGCGGTTCCAGTGTTAACGAGTAAACGTTTATATTGCTCGAAGAGAATGTGATGATTCGCGCAACTCGCGTGTTTTATAGTATTTCAATTGGAATATTCTCCGTTGAACTGTAACGTTCCACGGATAATACTTAATCGTAGCATTAATTGTTATTATTCATTAATGTTAAGTTTATTCGGGATCTACATTATATATACTGCGTGGTTGCATTCTTATACGCGATCGTTCGTTTCTCTCGTGAAACGTGGACCAACTGTACGAATTTGTAAAAATCAATAGCGAACCAAAGATTTCTTGATGGCTGAAGATCCATCCGATGGTACGTATAGGATAGTTTTGTGATGAAATGTGAATGTCTGTCGATATTTGGATGACCGTTGTGCGCGTGCTATGGTGAGAGTTACCCTCCGAGAAAGCGAATTGAACGTAATCTTTATTTTGTTACTCGACGTTCGACAGATTTGGGAATGTACAGTTGGATACACTTCTGGTAGGTGTACATATAATAGGATATTTTTAAAGTCGAAATTTGGTAAACGATTTTCATAGACGTTGATGAAAATGCATATTTTCAACAACTTTTCGCTCTCACGCAAATTTCCTTTTCATTTAGTTTCCGACAATTATATAAAAAAACTCGCGATGACTCGTTTTTCTAAAAAGAACTGATACATCATAAATATTTTATTGTATTTAGCTTAAAAGAAAGTAAAATATATTTATGAAAATATATATACCTATGTATATAAGAAGAATAGTTAAATGAGTCTCTGTACTCAAGAAAATTGAAAATATTTGACCATTTTAATCGCAGAGCCATCTCACCCGGTAGTAACCTCTATAAAGTTCAATATAGTGGTAGCAAAAGTTAATTTGGAAACTGAACAACAGTGATACTTTTGTCGAAGAAAGAAGTTGCTCAAAATATGCATTTCTACTAATATCAGTCAATTTTATGAAAATCGGCGAGGTACAGCACCTGCGCTACTTTTACCTCTCTCGAGTGCAAAGGGCTAAAGATATTATATAGTGCCTTGTTCGGGAGTGCCTGATTTTTATCTGTTAACGCGAGACAGATATAACTAAGAGGCTTCTGACGATTTCGTATAACCAAAGATGCTTCAAGTAACTCGAGATGTTCGAAATGTTATCCGATTTCCGTCAAGAATTTTTTCGATAATTGAGGATGCATAACATTGACATTAATGACATTGTCATATAAAATACTGATATTTTATCTTAAAACCGAATGGAACAGACGAATGGCTATATTGTAAATATATTTTGAATTTAAATAAGTACAATTTAGTGCCTTATCGAAGGAAGAACAGTTGACAGCTTAATCATTATTGTTAAAAGGAAGACGACGGTTGCTAGACTTGCTCGAAACACGGGGAGCATGCAGGAAAATAATTATGCCAGTATTATACGCGATGTATCAACTTCCCTGTAATTGTTAATCGATTAAACTTGTCCGTTGTTAACACAGTGTAATGTATTTTTGCGAAGGAAGTTGTGCCACGAATTTTCAGAGTGTTTAAACACCTGTATCGTAGGATATTGTTACTTACGGTACATAGTCTAAGAGAAATAATGATTTTTTACTGGCATTGTCGCTTTAATAAATCAATTTTTACACGAATGTTTCAGTGGTGTAGTTTAATTCCCTGTTTACGCGTGGACTGAGGCGAATTGGATCATTTTCTATTTGACACTCGAGGAATAGAAATACCTGAACATTGATGATAAAAAATAAAAAGGAATTCTCTAATTTTTCTTTTTCAAGCAAGAAACTAAAAGTGAAAAATACAATTAGAGATGTAACAAATGTAAACTGGATTTTTATCTCAAACCTGTTCACTCTGTGATCTTTTTGGAATATCGAGATACGTTTGGAAGATAATTGAAAATTAGAATATCAATGTGCTTTCGATAACATAGAATGAAATGTTCATTTTAATTACGTTTATTTTAATTTCCATCATTTTTTGCTCGGTAAAAATGGCGCCGGTTGTCGGGAAAAAACGAATATACTTTGCTTATCATATTTATTGGCCCATTAACCCGATTTTGCACTATCTGTTCAGCATTACACAACAGAACATGCAGGTAGATAAATATTGAACCTGTGATCTGGGTCGCAAGGTTATTCTAAACTCAATGTCACCGCGAATATCGGAAGAGCAGAAGATTTGAAAACTTGTGAATGCAAAGATACGCGATTCTATTGTTGTACAATATCACAGGAGATCGTCTTCTTGAAATAAATATTAAATCGATGAAACCATTAAAGATACTTAATTATTCATATTAGTTAAACATCAAAGTTAATTGATTATTTATATTAGCAAAGTTAAACAGTAAAATTACTTAATTACCTATATTAGTAAATCATAAGGATTCGAATGCTATAGCATTCATTTTGCATCACAATGATGTCATTTTTTCTATTTTTGCTGCTCATTAAAATTTCTACTGTCCTCGAACGTGTTGACATTAATCAATAATTCTCAAACTCCCTTCCTTAACATTAGATTTACGGACATTGTTGCACTGTTCAATCTCTCTTAGAAAAATGAATATTCGTTCATCTAAATCTTAGAAATTAGAGGTTCAAAAGTAGACAATTAGGGTATAGATTTGCGTAATTGCATCGATCAGTATCGAGCCAACGAAATGGTGTTTATAAAATTCAATATGTGTCGCATTGACCTGTTCCGTAAATCTAGCGTAAAAGATTCAATTCATATTGTTAAAAGTTAATACTTCGGAACCTTCTCGATCCCTGTCCATTAGGCAAATTTCGAAAACCGCTGTTCTCAAGAGGAAGTATCTGTAGAGACACGAGTTTTTGTTGTAGAGGGCCGTGTCGCGTCTACGCGTCGCCTTCCCGAGGATCCCGGCAGCAGCCGGTATCGATGTCTCCTGAAACACTTTGGAATCAACGGGGCGCCGGTTCGTCGGCAAGCTCGACGACGTCTGGATTCGACAACGAGCTTCCGTGCATCGATAGGCCCCCCTCAAAGTCTGCGAAATTGCTCATAGCAATAGCCCGAACCGCTTTTTGTCGGCCACTCGTGGGAATCTTGGGGAAGTCTTGAAATCGTAATGTCTGTAAGTGCACGTCATGAACGGAAGCTAACAATGAGCCTCTCAAAAATGCCCCCCTATGCAACGTATATACGATTTTTAATATTTCATTATAATATTTTTGTAATACTTATCATAATATGTTTGCTATTTTGTTTACACGTGTAAATATTGTGAAATATATGAAGTGATATTTCAAATTTCGAATTGCTTCAAAATCAAACTGACTGGAGGTGACTTTCAGTCACCACTTGATTTCCTACAGTGAAGCTTTAAAGTTTCATATTTAATATTATACTTCATATAATGCATCAATCTGAGAAATATTGACGTAAAAGTTGGTTTTAAAATATCGTCTTCATCTCATCAGAAAATGTTGAAATATTTCTGGTGAAAAACTTCGGAGTGCAAAGGGTTAACTCTTTGAACTCTGTAGGCTCCAATATTGCTGAAGCCTAACAGAAAATAAAATATATTTACGAAAATTGATATACCTATGTATATAAGAAGAATAGTTAAACGAGTCTTGTCAAATTTCATCCTGATTACCGTGGCCATCCATACGCGTCCTTCTCCAGTTTCGCTCATTAGCTCTTCTTCCGTTTTTGTTGTTTCTTTCACTGCCTTGCATTCTTCTCTTAAGTGTTCCATTGTCTTATTCTCTTTTCTGCAAGTTCCGCAGATTCTTTCCTCCTCTTTCTCCTATCCGTTCCCCCTATATTCATTCCCGCATCTGTATCTTGCAATTGCTTTCAGAATAACTCATTTATAACGGCAGTTCGATGAAGTTTAATTGGGATTTTCAGATAATAATTAGAATGTTGCATACAACTGAAGAAACAGAGCGATTCGTTTGATTCTACGAATAACCGCATATTTGTTGATCGTTTGTAACTGCAAAAACATAATCGGATCCGTCAAGATCTGAAGTTTATAACTGATGAACGACCGTGTATAGGTTTTATACTTTCTACGAGATGTATAACCGGTAGAACGTTGAAAGCCTTCGGATCGTGACATTGAAGTTGCAGTATTGAATGCGGACACCGGAACATCCGATAGCTGGGAAAGTCTCGCAGAGATAAATGAGTTGATTGAATCGATTATTTTTTCGAACTTTTTTAACTTTTATTGTCGATGTGCTCGGTTGACTCTTCACCTTTTGTATTTAAAATAAATTTCCTTATTATTGGGTTTACTATGAAATAACAAAAATTCTGTTGGCAATATCGAAATTGTAATAATGATGAAGATTATTTGAATTTTACCATTAGATAAATTGAAGATTATTATAATTATTATTAACTATTATTTGATTACACTGTTTAATGTATGTTATAGAGTGGTTAAACTAAAACTATACCTGTAATATTAAAGTAAAATACATTCTGTGACATTTATTTAATTTTATATATAAAGTAATATTTGAAAAGTCAATGTACATTATTGTCCTCTATCTTTATGTTTTTTGAAGTTAATCAATTGGCTAATGAGTAGCACAGATGTCTGTTTATGGTGGATCGGATATATATATTTATGATTTCTGAACGTATGATACATTTATTATGTTCATTAATTAATTACATACTATACAACGTTTATACATTATTCAATCAACAACGTCAGCTCCAATCGATCTTTTATTCGTACACACAAAACCGGAATGTTCATATGAAAAATCATGAAAATATTTGTAAGATATGTACAATACTAAATTACAGAGTGTCCATTGTTTTTCGCCAACTATTGCGATTCGATGCCAACATAGCCAGTGAAAGTATTAACAAAGAAATAATGCCCCGGATAATTGGCATTTAACCCTTTGCACTCGAGAGGTGACTCACTCTCAGTCATTTGATTCGATACAACAAAACCATCAAGTTGAATATTTAATATTTCAAATTAAACTTCGCATTGCTACGTGAAATAGTTACATAAAACACCTTTATTATTTAATTTATCTATGAATTATCGTTAACACGTTGAACGCTGCACGATTTCATAGAGCAAAACACACAAAATAGAAAAAATACAATATTGAATCATTTGATTGAATTGCTTTATTATTATCGCACATTCATCTAGCTGAACATCACCCACATTAGGTAGCATTATTTATAATATAGAAATATTTCTAAACAATCGTCGAGTGAATTACAGTAATTCGATTTGGTTGGGGGTCACCGGTGGCCCCCATGGCATACAACGTGTTAGATTAGTTTCAAACGATATCACCTATGTCTCGCCAGAGAATCTTGAATATTTCCGTTGATGAACTTTCGAGTGCAAAGGGTTAATAAAGGGTTAACCGTTCGGGACTCCCCGCGGAGAATAGAATCGAAAGAAATCGGTTCCCCTGTTAGTGGACATTGTCACGAATATGTCAACGGCGGTTCAGTGGAGCGGTTAACGGGATTGATCGGCCGGTAGATCACGAACGCGAGATTTTTCCGGACGTGTACTGTATCTGAATACGCAATCGCGTTCCGGAATCGGAGTGCACGGTCCGCGGTACCGTACGAAGATCCACTTGTCACCATACACCTGTGTCCTCCGATTAGGCAGCATAGTTTCGTTCGATTCAGATCGAATTAACCTAGATCACTCTCAATATCTTCTATCAACAACCAAAAGATTCACATTCTCCCATTACACGCATACCTATTCGATCGTCGCCGAATAAAATCTGAACCCTTTGCACTCGAGATGATTCGATACAGGAAAATTATAAACCTTGGTATTCCCCATTAACCCCTTGCCTTACAATAACGTGTCACGTGGCGCAGATTTCAAGCAGAATTAACTTATCATCGGCGTTTGCTCGATCCTTCTGAATTCGAATTAAATATTATTCTGTTATCAATTATTGCATTCCGAAGCGAAGATTCGTATAGAATATGTCTATAATTTTGTTTCTCCCCTTAATAAATCATTAACACGCCACGGTGGTCACCAATGACCGGAGCTCCCAAATTACTGAAGCACAATTACAATAAAACACTTGATCTTAAATAAGAATATTTAGTAACACAAGTAGCTAGATCATAGCGTGATACTACTGTGATACTAAATCATTAACAATTATTTTCAATATCATTCGCCTTTGTTATTAAAGAATAAGTATTACTATTCTAAACGCTAGAAATTCTCGTGGCAGTCAACGTGTCAATGACAAAGTAGTTGTATCGATCGTAGCGGATAAGTAAATTATAGGGCAAGGGGTTAACCTTTGTACACTGCGTCAATCAAATATTCAAAGAAAACAATTGTTGCCTAATTCATATATGCTATCTTGATAAATTCATGTGAAAGAATCTCGTCTGCAATTAGAAAGTATATTTCAAATGAGAAGCTTTCGAGTGCAAAGGGTTGTACCACCTCGAAAGAGCTGGACAAGTAATCATTACAGATTATCTTCAAGAAGTCCTCTTTCCTAACGAACCATCGATTATCTTACTGGACCTGTACCCTGCTCTCGTGGAAACTTCGCACGCTGTCTCCAACTGTTCACTTACCCTCTCCGAGCTTCGAAGAAATCGGTTTGCTGTCCGGAAGACAGCACCTCTCGTCCCCGCGTCCGTCTCCGTATTTCGGACAATACGGCGGGTGTTTGCCGGTGAAGCAGAAGGACCCCCTAACGCCGACCGGCGTGTGCTGGCCCATTGTCACGTACTCGCCGGGCCTGCTCTCGATTCTGGGCCCGGAAGGGCATCTCCTGGAGCACGGCACCGCCATTGATTCCCGGCCGTTGTTGTCTATGCTCTCCGCCATGTAGCAGACTACCCAAACGTGGCTGCAGAGTTGAGAGTTCGGCTTGTCCTCGCAGAAAGGCTGCACCTTGCCGCCGTTCACGCAGAAGTCCACGTGGCCCATGCGTCCGGTCTCGCCGTAGTAGCCGGCGTTCGTGTGAATCACCTCGACGAAGTCAGCGTCACCGCTGTCGAGGCGATTTACATAGCCGGCGCGCAGCAGCGGCCTGGCAGGGTCCAGCCCTATGATCCGGTGCATCCTGAACAGCAAGAAGTTGGCCATGATGCCGCAGATGTGCGCACCCAGTGAATGTCCCACGCAGGTTGTCCTCGTGATCGGCAGTCCTAGGTCCCTTAACGTGGTCAGCGTGTTGGCTAGACACTTCGCTACCGGACGAAGGTTCGCCACCGCTGCCGGATAACACGGGGGTGCGCATAATGCACCCCAATCTACCAGGAAGACGTTGTAGCTGCTGTTTCTGAGGTAGGCGTCGCGGAGGACTGCTATGGGAAGAGTGTCGTCGCCGCCTGGAAACCGATGGTGATCATCATTAATCTCAGGGACACGATAATTTATGGCGTAGATAACCTGGCGGGTCGGTAGTGTCTTTAGTCGCTTCCTGTTCTATGAGGTTTATTATTGGTTATCGTTGGTATTATTCAAATGAGCAGGGGAAGATAAAGTTTTAGAGTGTTTCTTGTTCACGATGAATAAAAACTGTGATTGATGACGAAGACAGAATTTCCTTGTGTTTAATGGATCGCTCGATTTTGTTTCGTGTGTTGTAATGCTTCTGGGTGTCGACATTTGCGAAATTGAATTAACGTGGTACGGATGACGAGATACTGGATTTTGTGCGTAGGTTCGACGAGTAGACTTTTTTTAAGTAGTATTTTGAGAATGATTTTAAAATGGATTTTGAAGTAAAGTGTTTAACGTGTCGATGATCCTTAAGGTTGGACCGATCGTAAGTAGGTTGAGAATGTGTAGGAGAAATGGATGGTTGTGAAGCATGATTGGCAAGGGAATGTCTGGTCTGCAATGTGTTATAAAATTTAAACAGGTGTGGATGAGGATCCTTCTCATGAATAGAAAGTTTAGAGTGAACAGCTCATCGAACATTTATTTCCTGATATTATTTCGTAAGTACCTATAGTTCTCAATTTAATTTCAAATGTACATGCACCTGTACAGTTTTAATCATTTATAAATAACACATGATTACATAGAACTCTCCAAAAATCTTAGATAAACACTATTAGAAACTAAGGAAACTCTCAACACATAAATAGTCCAAAAACTGATGCATCATATAATTAACTGACCTTCATCTATCAAATGTATCAATCGTAAAAACTATACATCATAAATAAAGAATCAACTGATCATCTATCAAAAGTATCAATCGTAAAAACTATACATCATAAATAAAGAATCAACTGATCATCTATCAAAAGTATCAATCGTAAAAACCATATAACCAAGGAATCAACAGATTCTCTATCAAAGCACAACACAGATACATACTCTACACCAATACAAATACAACTATTCCTACACCTAGATTTACAATCAACAGACTTTGTCACCCATAAAGAATTCAAATCTAAAACAGAAACACCATCAACATCCTAACCTGCGTATCCGTGAACAAGAATAACGCTCTCCTTGGTAGGATCATAGTCCTGGCGCAACCAATCAGACGATCTAGAGTCCAGCTCTCTTCTTGGTCGACCGGGCGCATAGAGGAAGACTCGCACGTCAGGATCAGGACACGAATCCTTGTCGTTGCCTCGCCTCCAGATGCACTTGTGCCGATCGTACTCGGCGGCTAGGCCATTCTGTATCGCTTCCTGGATCGGGCCGTACGGCTTCTTCGAGGCTGCTTGGTCCACCAGGAGCAACGCGGCCAGGAGCAACGAGAGCTTGAACATTAACGGAAGCATCCTCCGAAGACGCGAGACGTTCGCCGGGCACGCGACAACCGGTAACTGATCGTGACAACTCTTTCGCGCACCGTTTTGTCCTTCGTTGGGCTCCCACCTTCTTCACCTGTCGATGACTGTTAGAGCATTAGGCGATCTAGGGGAGGGAGACCATCGGTTCGCGGATCGCCACAAATTCCAGGCGAGACGACGATAAAAATCGACGAAGTGTCAAGGTCGGCGAGTGACCCGGTTCTCCGAGATTCGGCGCAGTTGTTTATAATGCTGGGCCATTGCGTCATCGGCGATTATGGTAATTCGCGCGCGACGATGAAGCTCTTCGGCGCGTGTACCAGGAAATCTCCATTGTTTCGATTGGAGTACCGATATTCGTGTATATTATCGTGATCATTTTATTAGGTGATTGATTCGAGAATTATGGCACCGTGGAATGGGCTTTGAAAAATCGGTGGAGGCTGCCTTTTCGTTGGTAGACCGTATTTCTTTGGACACGTGAAATTCACGTGAGGGTATTCGATATTACTGTATACACACTGGCCTAAGTATTTGAAATTGTAATGGAGATGTGTTAACTGGATAGTGGATAGTTTGAAATTTCCAGTGGTGTATTTCCGGGTGATTGGCCTGAGCTCATTAGAATTGCGAAATATTTTCGATTTTCTCAAGTGATGCGTTAACTATTATTTTTATGTACATACATTTATTTTCGTTAATGTATCTTATTTTTCGTTAGGTGTTAGTAGTATTTATTAACCCTTTGCACTCGACAGGTGACTCTTAATCTTCAACTATGAAGTTGAATATTTAATATTTCAGATTAAAGTTTGCATTGCTACGTGAAATAGTTAAATAAAACACCTCTGTTGCTTAATTTATCTATGAATTATCGTTAAATTAGTTTCAAGCAATATCACCTGTGTCTCGTCAGAAAATGTCGAGTATTTCGATTGAAATACTTTCGAGTGCAAAGGGTAATACACCTGACCCTCGATTTACGCGGACTTTTTTCACGCGAGTTTCTCGTACGCCATCCGAATTTAGTGACACAGCACACAGCTTTATCGTTAATAATTTATTAAAAGAAGAGAAAAATTCTATGCATATCCTATGTCCTTTGCTCGAAAGTATAATAATTGACAACGGAAGCATAATGTTCCATTTGAATTCGCAAGAACTCATTATTTATTTTTGTTAAATTCTGTTTAAAATCTTTGCTACGAGTCTCGCATATTATTGTAAGGGTTAAGCTTGTGAAATGAATATGTATCTGTAAAACTTACACCAGCTTCTCTTCTTAATATTTTGTTTCCTTTCGCACCGACCGACTCTGTTTACTCAATGTTCGCGTAAAACAAGTCCGCAAATTAATTATTATTTATTAGATTAAACATAAATGGGGCGACAGGTTGATTTTATATACCTCCGCAGACCAGTGTAAATAAAAAGTAACGGTGCGTCATTGTTTTGTTGAACACGCATTTTTTAGTGCGATACGTGGGTAACAATATATATGCGGTTGCGAAATTCGTGTGGGGAATCACGCGTGCAATCGCGACTCCGAATTTGGTTTCTGCGAATTTCACAAGAAGGTTGCGATAGTGCATCAGAATGTCTCAAGAAACTCTGATGGATGACAATTTGGCGTTCGCTTTGTATCGGAGCCCGGAAATACTCTTTATCTCCTTCGTGGGCAGACAAGAAGAAACGAAAATTCAAATGACGGCGCTAATTGACGAATCACTCTCTCTCTGGCTGTGTGCTATCCTTTTCGAGTGTACCCAGAAGAGTGTTAGCTCTCGAGAGCAAGCAAGGAAAAAGGAAAGTATGCTCGAGAATTGGTAATACGCGAACGAAGACGTTGGGAAAACATGGAACGTGGAAGACTAACAGCAGATCGATTTTATGGAATCCATTTGTTCGCAATGCGAATTTTTCAAGATATCTATTTCTTAGGGTAAAAGCATGGGACCAGAACAAGCTGTTTTCTGCATCCCTAAAACAACGCTAATACATTTTTTAATGGATTAACTGTTTTAACTTATTGAGACTTGTTTAACGATATCAACGCGTTGACTGCCACGAGAATTTTGAGCATTTTGTATGTTAATATTGACACTTTCTTAACAATGTTATATGATACTAAAAATAATTACTGCTAATCTGACATCACAGTACTAATGTTACATTATTGTCTAGTTACTTATGTTACTAAACATCTTCATTCGACATGAATTTTCTTATTGTCATTCTTCTCAAGCGATTTGGAAGCTCCGGTCATCGATGACCATCATGGCAGTCAACGTGTTAAAAATGTACATGCAAGATGTACTGTAGTCAATGCTTGCAAGAATCGATAAAATGGATAATGAATGAATGAAGGAAAAGAGAGATTGGTTTTTTTAAATGTTGATTGGTTGTCTTGCGTTGTTTGGAATGCATAGCTTCAACTGTAAGTGTAGCATAGAACATCTACAAGGAAAGTGTATGTTGGAAACACGTAAATACTTCACCAAAATGATTTCTTAGCCAAAATGAAATTTCTATTATTTTATGGTAAATTGAACTTAAGATTTCGCGGATAGTGTGAAAAATTTATGCTTTCGAATTAAGACAATGCACGTTTGAATAGTATTCTGCCTTTCCGGTTCAATGCACCTTTTATTTCTTGTCATCGCGCCAAGTAACGTTCGTACTGCGTTAAGAAAGATTCTGTTTATTATACAACGCACGGATTTGGTTAAAATGATTTATGATTAGAAACATAGAAACGCCTCAGGAATATCTATTAGAAATCACAAAATTTCTACTGCATCTTTCGTATTGTTATTCAATTATGAATTATATACAGTAGTTAAAAATATACAAATGGAAATGAATAAAAACGTACGAAAACTTCATTAATTAACTCGTTGCGTACTGGTAACGAGAAATCTCGTTCTTTTATAAAGACACTTAGCTATGCAACTTTGCTATTTACCACAGCATTAAAAAAAGTATTAAATTTGATTCGACTTGATTATCTATTTAAACTATATTACATAACAATATGATATCTGAATTTTTGTATGTATAGTCATATAAATTGATCTCATTGAAAATTGCCATCCGCACAATTCAGTTTTCTGAAAATTAGTTGGTACGCAACGTATTAATAAAGATTTTCAAATATTCTTTATTTATTAAATCTTCTACTACTCCGAACAAGTTTTTCCTTTCTCTTCATTTCTATAAATTGGATTATTGATATGAAAGACTACGTAAGTTTCTCGCAAGGATTTGAACACTCTGATTTCCGTTCTGCCGTAATTGTCAGCACTTTGCAATGAAACGAATAGGCCAGGGACTACCTGTTCTACTATTCTGCATGCATCATTAAGTATGGATATAGTTGCAGTGTCCTCAAATACCAGTGTGCGCCGTGATTAAGCATCGAGGAAATTTGCAAAAGATATCGATTATTATAAAATTATTATACACATTACCGCAGAATAAAAATTCTTCTGTGAGAATAATTTTAAATACAGATGATAAAGTTAAAAAAGCGATTCTAATACAACAGTAATTACTATCAATTAAAATAATTGCTATTGAATTACGTGATTCACAGTGTTCTCTCGATCATTAGAAGTAGAAATTGTACAGCAGGTAATCATAAATACTATATGACTATCAATCTTCTATTACAGGCCAATTCATTTAGGGCAATATAATGTTCTTCTAGATTTTCGTAAATCAAATTTAACTGCTGGTCTATTTATACAGTGGAAGGAACGTCACTAACACGTCGAATGTTCGCTGTTTGGAGAAAGTTCCAAATTTTGTCGATAACATTCAAAGTGAAAGTCCTCGAAATTATGAATGTTTACAGAGATATTAAAACAAGGCAATTCTTTGAATTTTTTTTCTAACGTATTCAAAGATTAGGGTCACGCGTATTTGATCGTTTACAACATTTCTAACGGTAATTGTGGAAGTAAAAAGCAAAAATGTAATTAGTAATAATTTTCATTAACTACTTAAGAATATTTCAATAATATACATAACGTTCTATTATTCAGTTTACTTTCCGAGCAGTGAATTTTTTCTGATGAGATATCAAACGTGAACCACATTGAAGAAGTGTGTGTGAATTCATGTTTATTTATTTAATATATGTGTATATGCCTTAGCAGCTAATAATAGTTATTATTAAATTACATGTTGACCTTATAATCTCACGGTTACTTCGAAAAATTTTGAAAATTATAGATGGCCCTAACTTTTTGATCAAGAAGTGTACAAGATTTTCTAATTTCAAGAACGATGTTATTTATTTTTCAAAATAAAAATTAATGGACATCTAAGTTTTTGTGGTAAAGTTTAGGGGTTGCGTGATTCCTTTATTATCATGTGCCGCTTACTACGTTATCAGCAGAGTATAAATAAATTCGAATGAGTGAATCGCTAGAATACTAGGGAGTTTTGAGCGTGTCGATATATCAGAACAGTAGGCAGAAAATTATAGTTTATGCAGCGTTCGTTCTTACAAATCATATGATAGAATTCAGTTTGGATTTATCAGTTCTATTTTCGCATGTAATCCTGTCTTTGATCGCTGTTAAATTATCGTTCGTAAAGTTACGTTCATTTTTTAAACACGTGTATTATTATATTTAGTGACTTTTGTTAAATATATAATAGAACATTTATAACATGGCAGAAAAAAAGAGGGTACTTATGATTTGTTTAGGTAATTATTATTTATTTATTTATAACCAAATATGAAGTCATATGTATCAGTAATGGGAAATATGATTTTTATTTTATAGGCAACATTTGTCGTTCACCTATCGCAGAGGCTGTATTTATTGATCAAATAAATAAATTGGATGTAAATCATTTATGGGAAGTGGACAGTGCAGCTCTTATTGGATATCACACAGGTAAAGGTCCTGATCATAGAGCTATGTCTACACTAAGGAAAAATGGTATCAATAATTACTCACATAAAGCAAGGCCTGTAGGTAAATTTTTTATTGTATACTAAATCTGTAGAATAATATCAATTTATTTGCACAATACATTACAGATTACAGAACACGACTTCACTGCATTTGATTGGATATTTGGGATGGATACTAATAATATCAATGAGTTAAATGATATGAAACCTAGTAATTGCACTGCTAAAATAGAGTTTCTTGGAAGTTATGATCCTCAAGGAGAAGTTATAATAAGAGATCCTTATTATGTATATATTATTTTTAGTTCTTGTTAATTTGTATATTATATTATGAAAGAAAACCTAAATTAATAAAAATTTCATTTATAGGATAGTGATAGCGCTGGATTTCATAAAGTGTACGAACAATGTGTACGTAGTATAAAAGGTTTTCTAGAAAAACACAGGTATTAATTTAATTTTGTTATATTAACATAGTGTTTAAGCAAATTGTTTATGTCATTAGCAATGTATATAAAAATATAAACTTTTATTTTCAGATAATAAATTTTGATTATAACATTATGAAAATAATTATTTCATACATTATTGGAAAATTGTATATTTAAGAATCTGTAAAAAGACAATAAACACTGAACAAACATTATATTGATTGTTACTGCTTAAAACTGACAAAAACTGTTTTTAGTAGTATTTCTATATTGATTGAGTTTAATCTGCATATTAGAAAAGTATAGAGTAACATATTATGTATATTAAAAAAGCAATGTGTACACTTTACATGCAAGTGAAAATTATATAACAGGTAGTCTATGCAGTTCCAACTTTTTGAATGCTTCTGCAGATATCTGCAGATAGATAACATTCACAGAAAATGTATATGTCATATGCACATGTATACACATATATGCAATACACAGTCGTACTTATTTTGTTTTCCAAGGTTTCTTACATAACCTTAAGGAAAAGTACTTAAGTACTTTTGACATAAAAAAAGGTATTCATTGTCTCTAAAGAATTACACAAAGTTATGTCCCAGAAAAAGAAAGTATTAATGGTATGCTTAGGTAAGTGTAAAAACATAATTTAAGTTTTATGAAAAATCAACATAAAAATATTTCTTTTCGATTTCACGATTTTGTATTTTAGGAAATAGTTGTCGTTCTCCAATTGCAGAAGCTGTATTTTGTGATCAATTAAAACAAATGGATCTTAATGAATTTTGGGAAGTCGATAGTGCTGCACTTTTACAATATCATGTGGGTAAAAGTCCAGAACCTAGAGCTATGGCCACACTTAAAAAAAGAGGCATTACACAGTATACTCATAAAGCAAGAGAAGTAGGGAAAATTATATTTTTCTTAAATTAAAATAATATCAAAATGATATAGTAGATGATATTTTTAGATTAAAAAAGAAGATTTTTATAAATTTGATTGGATACTTGGAATGGACAGTGGCATTGTGTATGATTTATGTCAAATGCAACCAGATGATAGTCCAGCAAAAATTGAACTCCTAGGAAAATATGATCCAAATGGTGAACTTAATCTACGAGATCCATTATTTGTAAATGTTATTTCCATTTGTTCTGAACTATTCAAATATTTCTTCATAAATTGACAAATTATTTAATTACTTTTCATTTATAGGATGATGATAGTAGTGGATTTGAAAAAGCATTTGAACAATCTAACAGAAGCATAAAAGCATTTCTAAATCAACACTCGGGTAATTTCTTTGTATAAAATTATATTCCTATTTACTTATATATATATAACATACTGCTACATTATCTTATTACAAGTGTGTTATTTATAGTTGTTTCAACTGAGAATTCAAATTGACTGTGATTATATTATAACATTGGTAATGTAATCAAGCTCTATAAAATTTGGATAATTATAAAATATGTAAGTATAAAAGATATTTTTATTTAACTTTATGTCCACTTACATACACTTCAATTATATTACGATCATCTCCTGAATATATTATCTTTTGCAATTTTTCTTCTAAAGTATATTGTCTTAAATCATTTAAATATCCATTATTTACATTTGTATCTACAATAAGAGCATCAAATTCTTTACCTATTGCAAAGTTACCTATTTGATCGTCCATTGCAAGTGCTGGAAAAAAAGTGTTACTGTATAAAGGAAAGAGCTTGATCTATTTAGTTATAATATAAAAAAGATTTATTTATATTACCTGTTGCACCTCCTAAAGTAGCCAAGTAGAATACATCTTTAAAATTAAGTGCTTCATAATCAGTCTTAAGAAGAGACAGATGAATTGATACTTGCAAAGTTGATCTCATTGCATCTAACATACTACAACTTTGACCACCTGCAACATCTATAAAATATATACTTAGAATTACTGGTATGATATCTAAGAAAATTTATAAATAATTGAATTAATTTTTTGTTCTGTTACCAGTGCCAAGCCCAACTTTAATTCCTTCATTTTTCAGTCTCTGCACATCACAAAGACCACTTTTCAAACATGTATTTGAGGAAGCACAATGAATAATAGAAGTACCACGTTTCTTCAGTAATGCAATTTCAGTATCTGTGAGGTGTACCCCATGAGCCATTACAGTCTGCAAACAAATAAAGATGAATATAAGCCTTCCATGGCTGTTACATGTATATATTAATATAATTTAACATACTTTGTCTGTGAGAAGTTCAGCAGCATCATACACTTCAGCATATGAAGAATATTCAGGGAATTTTATCTTTACAGCCTCAATTTCTTCAATATTTTCAGATATGTGACTCTAAAATATTTTGTGCTTATTAAAATTCATAGTATACATGAAATTATGTATACAATACTATAAAGTGTATTAAAATATTCATTAATATAAAAATAATTACTTATTAATATATATTTACTTGTAACATTGGTCAAGAATGAAATACACTTTATTTAGTACCTGAATGTGAACATTTTTTTCTTTGGCTAATTTTCCTAATTCTTTCAGTAATGTTATATCACAGCTTAAAGCAAACCTTGGTGTTATAATTGGTTTTATAAGAGGACTCTGCAAGTATTATGAATAGTGAAACATCTTGTAAAGAAAATAACGTAATAAAAATTTATAGAATAATATTTGTAAATTACATTTAATTCAATAATATTCTTTATGAATTCTTTTAAATTAATTATAGATTTTTCAGTAGTTTCATAATATTCATCAGCACATTCGACATTCATGCTCAATTTTCCAATCAAAGCTCGTTGACCTATATGAGCTGCTATTTGTCCAAGAATTACAGATGCTTTTGTATAAAGAGATCCAAAATAACATGCTGTTGTTGTACCTTGTGCAACAGTGTGTTTCTATAATTTAGATTTAATTATATTACAACTAACTTAAAGTGTATATAAAATGCAAAATAACTTATGTTAACATTTTTATAATTAAACTTACTACAACTGCATTGAATACTTGACTAGCAAATTTTTCATCTGCATATTTCCTTTCTAATGGGAAAGTATAAGTATTCAACCACTCCAAAAGCTGCTTATCATATCCGATTCCTAAATTAGGAAGTTGCACTGCATGAATGTGACAGTCAATAAATCCTGGTATTAAAAATTGGGTTTTAGTGAGAACAGTGACATTCTCACTTGTTATATCTATTGATTTTGGATTTATTACTATATCATTAATCTAAAAGTTAACAAATATATAAGATTTTAAATTTTATATTACAATGTTTCACGTTTCATTGTTGTTTATATTATACAAATTAAAAAATCAAATATTTAAACCAAGTTGCAAATTTATTATAACTATATATAAAAACAATTGATCGATATCTACCTTTCCATTCTCAACGTATATAGCACCATGATCGACGGTGATCAATTTACCACGTTCGTTAGTATGAACAAAAGAACCGACAAATACATGCTGTTTAGACGCCGATTGCATTGTACAAAATTTTCTTGATGAATTTACTGCAATTATAAATATTCATATATTCAGAAAAACTTTCAATATTAATGTCTATGTTTTCGCACTTTATATTAACGTTCATTACAAATTTACTACTGACATATTTAGTGTTGTTTCGTTCGCATTGTTTTAAATGTTAATTCACATAAGTCTATGTCGCAAACCGAAGTACTCTTAGTATCGTAACGCGGATAATATTGATCTAACACTTAAATTAAAGTCAAAGTTGTTAACTGTTGAGCGACGGTGCGATCATACCTACTTTTTGTGCGAATTTACTTAGTGATATTACACGGTAAATCATGAGTTCTAAGAAAGAGCAAAAATCGGACACTACAAAAAAATCAGATAAGATGATAGATACGCATAGAGAATTTCTAGATATGGACACTGACGAAGAAGACTATGGTCGACAAGGTGATACAAATATTATGCGTATGAAATTTACGATAAAACGTTTGCAGTCGACATTGTACACAGTTTAGAAATTTCGAACGATATTAATAATTCCGTTTTCATTTGTCGTCCGCAAAATAATCAATTCTATAATTTCATAGATCGATCATACCGGCTTCGGAAACAGCTGATCGAAATATAATTACTGTAAACTACTCATCTTGGAGAATTAATCACGGTTAAGTACTTTATTCCAGAATCACCTGAACTAGAAGAAGAACTTCCTCCAGAACCAGAAAAACCAGTATTTGCCGAGGAAGATCTGTCTAAATTAGTTAGTAATTTTCACAATGAATAACATTACTTTCAGGGATCATAAAAAAAATATAATACTGCCTTGAAAAACATGGCCGTAATGGAAAATGACGCAATCAGTACAATTTCCATAATCTAGGGTAACTTTTCCCACAAAACATTTTGAACTCGTTATCGGTAATTTAACAAATTGGATTATGAATTTTATTCGAATTAAGAAGAAGGAACATTTTAAGACATTTTTGAAGAGAAACAAGTCAAAAGTAACGATCACTACGGATAAAAAAGTACCTAGCCTCTAAAACGATCTTGAGACCTGGTATAATCCACAGGTTGTATTTATTATTAATCATTTTCTGATTGCACTCAATTTTAACAAAATGACATTGATATGCTGTGTTTCAAACAAAATATATGTAGATTTTTATATTATCTATAGAATAAAACATGCTTATACCATTGCAAGTGACAGAAATAATTATTCACAATTGTTGAATTCATACGAAGGAAGATTACATTCTGCACAATGTGACAGATAATTGTTAAATATTTCAAATTATCGTTTATAGTGTTACACGTTTATTTAACACGATTTTACAACGTCCATGGCGCGAATTTTAAAATACATCCAGAAAACCAGTGAATTTCGTATCGCACCAATTAAATAGAGGTGTTCTTTTTGAATACAGGTGAAATATGTAAAACATCTAACAATATTCTCCGATGCTAGTAACGGCAATTGGAATGAAAATTGCGACGAGGTAATCCAAGAATACTTTGAAAATCCGTCGCACGAACTGCTAACCGTATTTCATCAAGGAAATAAGCTGACTGCTATTTTGAATTTTCCAAAATATGCACCTAAAGGGTTCATGTATTTTTTAAGATCGCCATGGCAGATATACACGGTGGACAATTTCCTAGATACTGTCCTATTCGGAAGTATTACTGGGAACATTAGAAATTCCATTTTCAAATTTATGGAAACCGTTTATGCGCCGATTCTACTGCGCAGCAACGAATATACGTCATGTATCCGTTTAAGAATTTCAAATGATCATTCCCCAACATTATTTTCGTATAATATTCCTTTTATGTCACTTTTATTTTCATTTGTATAACTGCTGTCTGATATTGTTCTTATATTTGCTTCATCTTTGTTCATTGAAATTCACTGCAACTATAAATAGTAGTCTGATATTGTTTTTACATTTGCTCCATTTTTATTCATTGAAATTCACTGCGACTATAAATAGTAGTAGTTGTAGTAGAATTTCATTTTCTTCTCTTTCGACTTCGAAAAACAAAAAAGAAAAACACGTGTTTGTGATTGCATAATTTATTTATACTAGTATAGTACATTATATTGTACTTATCATTTAACACTAGATTTACGGAACGAGTCAATTCGATTTTTATTAACGCAGTTATGCAAATATGTATCCTAATTATCTACTCTTAAGCCTCTAATTTCTAAGATCTAAATAAACGAATAACAATTTTTCTAAGAACAATAAAACAAACTGTACAGTAAATGTCAGTAAATCTAGTGTTAACCCTTTTCGGACGAATATCGACGTTTCAGCGAGATGAAATTTTCGTATTTGAGAGACTAAGTCGCGAACAAATGATATAACGTTAAACCTACCGACACTTTAGCTACCGATCATATTTTTGCAAAAGGAATATTGGTGATTGTTGATTTAATACGGAAACAATACATACAATAACTTTTGCACAATAAGAAAAAAATTATGTATTTTTATTTGATTTTAAGAAGAACGGAAAACTATAGATGCATTTTTTAAATTGGAAGTTGGACGTTTAGTGTTAATTACTCAAACAACAGGCGATCAGCACGTAGCTTTCGTTTTTTATATTAATTAAGCAATTGATAGGTAATTCAGCTTGATCTGCTGAAGCTTTCGTATATTTCAAAGAATCTTCGTCCGCAAAGGGTTAAATTATCCTATATATTTACATAGCAAATTATTCTTTTCCTTTCCTTTCTTCTATCGTCTTTCCCGTTCATTTCTGCAACTACAATTTTCCATGAATAAAATAAACAGTCATAAAAGATGAAACATTTTCAAATCTCCACGAATTTATTATTCGTTTCACCGAGGAGATCTATAAACCAAAGGGTTTAACTACCTTGTACGTACCAAAGGAGAATCTTAAAGCGTTTTCAGAGCCATCGAACAAAATTGATTGCTTCTTATTAGGAGAGGACCAGAAGGCAATTCTCCCGGAAGAAGACGAAAGAAAACGGAAGTTAGTCCGTCGATTGGAAAAGATAGTTTGGTCTTGGATCGTTCAAATCCATAGAATCACCGTAACATCGCCGAATAGAAAGAAAATTGAATGTATACAAGACGAAGTTAATTACTGGAAGTTGAAACGTTAGTTTCAATCTATGGTTCTTCATTTTCAAAATATTAGTGGGGCCAGAAAGAAATTCATTATTTGTAATCTTAATCAAAAGCTTGATTATTTTATACAAATTTTTAAATATTATTCCAATATATAATTTCTTTTTCTTGAAGATAGTTCTCTGCTTGGCGATTAATGTTTCAAATCCATTTTTTGAATTAACATTGAAAAATTTATATAAAATAACGCTTTCCGTTGAGACTAACAATATATTACTTTCTGATTTCTATAATATATTTGTTCTAATTAAATCCATTTAATAAAGTTATTGTTCATTCCAAGGTTTAATACTAGAATTTTTACAATATTACATTGATATTCTCATAATTATAGAAATATCTATTCACAGATTCAAATTTGAATTATCTGCGTACCCAATTTCTTAATCCGGAAGTTCGATTCATTTGTGACGTACTCCGAAATTTCCGTTCTCTGAACGTACATAAATTCGAAGAATTGGCGAAACACATCGAAGAAGAAATTCAGCAAGTGGCCTCGAATTTAATGTACTTAAACGTCATGCTCGATTTTTGTAAAGATTTGAACATTCCCGAGGATGCTGAGAATTCCGTAACAAAGGCGTTACTTTTGATATTATTCATTTGGATGGAAGCTCCGTTTTATAGCACTGCGTGAGTTCCACCGCTTGTTAAGATAAAAATGAAAATAAGAAAAGAAACGCAAGTTCGTAATCGTGCGTGACATTTCAGGAATAACATAGAAACGCTTTGCGAATCGTTTAGTTGGCAAATAATACGTCAATGTAGAAGTTACATTCAGTTAGACGCTATTTTCGGAAGTGATCCGGAGGAAGGGAAAAAAATGCTGGAGAAATGTATATTCTGTTGCAATATTTATAAAACTGTTTATCATAATGTATGTTTTCATATAGAAAATTCTTCGTCGTATTGTTTACAAGTAATGTTGAATGTAAGTAAGATTGTTTGTTTAGTTGACGACGAACGTTGTTTCGCGCATTAATCCCGATAGAAAATGGGAAATAAACGAGGACAATGTTTTCAACAAAATTGATACATTTAAGGGAAGATGTTACAGTATGATCGAGATCTGCGAAGCGTTAGCGATATTTGGAAGGTACTACGGATTAAAAATTAAATAAATAGAGTAGGGTAATTTCGAGTGAGATGGCCTGATCTCATTTAGATATATATAATATAATATAATATAATATTATATATAATATATTTTTATTTGACATCAATTTTCTTATTGTTATCAAATAAAAATATTTGGCGACATAGTTGGATAACAACGTAACATGAGTACTGTGATACTAAATCAATAATAATTATTTCTCTTACCATTTGCCTTTGTCATAAAACAAGTATTACGATACAAAACGCTCGAAACTCCGATGGCAGTCAACGCGTTAACATAATATTTCATTTTTATTAGATATCAATGATATTCGTGATGTTCTTTTAAAAAAGTGGACCATCTCCCTTTCCACTTGCTCTATAAATGTAGATATTATTTTAGTTGAAAAATGCATCGAGTTTTATTTAATAGGCATCATAAGATAGGATCGCTGGGAAGCCCAAGAGGGGTGGAATACGAAGCGTATTGGCAAGAAATTGAAAATTCATTTTACGAAAACTTGAACGAACTTAGCGTTGCCCGTGATGTTATATTTGACATGACAAAATCCAGTTGGTTGAAGAAAGTCGGTCGTTTCAAGTGTATGATTCAACAATTGGAGAACATGGTGATAAATCTGATCAATGATATATTTAAGAACGTTGAGAATATAGAAGAAGGTATCGAAGCGATATACGCTTTGCAGAAGTTCAAGAAAAGGGAGATTTTCAGGGAATTACTGGAGAAAAAGTGGTTACAGGTGTTACAAAATTATATGTACATAATTGTTGCGAGGAAAACGAATTTTTAATACCGTTAAAATAATTCCTAGGTGTGGCAGATTTTTCACAATGAAATAGAGTATTGTTATACTTATGTGATTAATGAAACTCAAGGACAACGATCGATGCAAAGGGATGACACGACGATAAATATATCGTGTAACTCACGGTATTTGGAAAGACAATATACTATGATGAGAAAAGGGGTGGATTGGATAGGGGATTGTGCGATTGAAAAGTGAGCGATATATGACATAAATTATTTAAACACATTTATTGAAATGTTAGATCTTCTTTTTTAAATGTTACATTTGTCTATGCTAAACATCTTTTTTAATGTGATTTACCTATATTCGTATCTCTAAATAGGACGTATCATGCATTTCTTTTAGGTGCACATTGCAGAAATATAAACACGTATTAGATGTAATCGAAGAGAGAGGGAAGATGTTTAACACTCACAGTACTGTTGGAACACAACAATGAGAACTGGTAAGTTTTCTGAGTAATAATTGAAATAGCAGGTAACTTTGTAAAT